TCGATATTAATTTAAAAAAAACTAATAATGATCGAAAATTGCATATACCTATGAATAGTTCAACTTAAGTCAAAAATGTTTGAAAATTTCATGGTGGATAGAATATACTTATATAAACATTTGGTGAAAATTTCATGTATCAATGGTATTTGTTTTAAAGTTACATCAAAAATCAAAATCGATTTTGTCGAAAACTGATTGTGTGTAAAATTTTCCGTTTTTCCCTTAATTTTTAGTTTGTTTATCCCGATTATTTAGAAAAATATTAAGAATTTTTTACTTTTGACCACCAGAGTACCAACTAGATTCACTTTCTGATCGAATAAGGTACTGAAGTCAAGAATCGAAGCACTTTTACTTCCCCAAAACATGAAATTGTGCCTATGTATTCTTATAATTTTTTAATCACTATAAGTATAACTTATGAGAAACTTTGTATTATAATTTCAAGTATTTTGAATGGGCCAAAAAAATTTTCGGTAAAATTGAAAATTTCAGTTGTCTATAAATATCTCAAAAAAATTCAAAATATTTTGAAAATTAAATCATGTAAATAAAATGCCAATCTAAATAACTGGTAACATTTTCAAGTATTTACAACTTATACTTTTTGAATAATAACAAATATTAAAAATCGTATGAGAATAAATCGTTATCGTTACGCTATTTCGTAAAAATTTAAAATTCAAACTCACTTAAAATTTTTCCTATAATGATGCTTCGAGTTTTCTCTACAGCTACTTGAAGGAAAACTTAGTGTTGTATTTTTAATCCTTAGTTATAAACACAAACAATTTTATGATTTTTCAACTTCAAAATTATTTGCAAATATTCGCGTTATCGACAGATTTCGTAAAAAATTGAACTATAAACGCTAATAAAAAAAAATTGTAAATAACGATTTTTAATTTTTTTTTAGCTACAATAAGAACAACTCATAAGGAACCCCTTGACTGTATTAAATTTTCAAGTCATTTAAAACTTTTTTACCGACACATAACATAACGTATATAGCTAAAAACAACAAGCAATATATTGTATCTAATGACCTATTGGTACATAAACATGGTCTCAACTAGGGTTAAATTTCTGTGGGGCTGTATAGCACACCTAACAATACAATTAACTTAAAATAACTTATAAGTGGCTTATATCTAAATAAGGAATATTTTTTGAAGGGGTCAGAATCTTATTCGCGGGAGCTTTGCCCCCACCTCCGCCAT